CAATTTGAAATACCACTTTTCAAAATAAAAAAGATAAATTATTTTAACAGGAATTCATTTTTTAACTTTTTATAACACACATTTTAACATATTACCCTTTATGACGAACAATAATATTATAAACTTATCCCAAATGTATCATATATAACACTTTGTGTTTAAACATATTAAAATAAATATCATCGTTAAGAGAAACCATGACCATTTTTAGATAAATACAAAAACAAAGGTCTCATTTTTCGTTCCAAAAAACAAAAATTATTGCAAATTTTACCCGTCACTTCTTAACGGGTTTGTTACAAAACAATATTTGTAAAAAAATATTTTTAAAATTTACAAATACAATACTTGATTTACAAAAAGCGTTTATTTTATTGGCCAGTTAATAAATCCATTTTCCTTCCGCAAACAAATATATCAAAATTGTTCCAAAAAGTGAGCGAAAACGGAAAATCAAGGGTTTTTGTTCTTTGAATAATAACAATAAATATTAATTGATTATGTTTTACATTGTTTTAATTTCGAAGTTTTGGAGCATTCCCCAACTAGTTTATGGATCCCAACCAGTTTATAGACCCCCTATAATTCTGATATACAGTTTTCTAGGTTTGGTAATACTCGTTGACAATAAAATATACATCTCTTTGATAATTTTTTGGTATTCCTTGTTTTAAGGAAGCGGCATTAGTACAATAAATGGAACCGAGGTTGTACTTGTTGGAAAATTACCATTAAGTGGTTTTAATTCTCTTTCAATAAATTTTTCTTTAACAACAGGTTTTATTGCGTCTATGTAAACCATAGCCGAGTTACTCATTTTATTATATAATAAAAAGTTGTTATAAAAATGCTCTGTTTTTATTTTTGATTTAAATAAAACGTGGATAAATTTATTATAATAAAGATAATGTTGTATAATATTGTTGATAAAATCTAATAATTTAAGATAATTATCTATTGTGTCCAGATAATTACAATAAATTAGAAATAATTGGATTAAATTAGGATAATTTACGATATTTTGGATAATTTTTCAAAAATAAAAAACAAGTTTTGTAAATTAAAAAAACTCGTTTTATTTTACTAGAGTCAGTCTTATAACGTTATCTGGTCTCAAACGTTATCTGGTGGACAAAAAATAGCTTCATTTTTGTCTAAACAACGGGCATTAGGTAAAACGTGAAAAAACCCGAAACAATTGCGATTGGACTGCTCCCCGAATAATTCCATTTTTTATGGTCCAAAAGGCACCAGATAACGTTTGAGACCAGATAACCTTAAAAGACAGACTGTAGATAATTATTGCATTTTTAAAATTAAATATATTTAAAATCGATAAAAATTGAAAAAAACAAAAAAATTGAATTATAGTCAATATTCGATTAGAGGGCTATTCGATATAGGGATTTATTCGATAAGAGACCAAAATAATTAAAAAGAGGTCTCTTATCAAATATTGAAAAAAAAAACAAAAAACAACATTTTCTTTTTTGCTATTTTTTAGTAATATTATTGTCCAAAACCTTAAAATGGTAATTCATAAACCAAATTGTAATCAAGTCGAAAAAAATTAAATAATTTTTACAATTATTTTAAAAGCAAATGAATTTTTCATCTAAAACCCAAACACTGTTAATTATTGTGTTGTTGGAACGTGTTAAATTGTAATAAAACAACACATGTTTATTCTGAAAACCAATCGTTGTCAATATTGCTCTACGTATGTTCGTTTTAATGCTGTTTATGTTGTCTGTCAATATTTTGATTCTATAACGGACGTTTTGTGTTTTAATAAACACCAATAAAATAAAGCATTTGTTTTTCATATTATAAATTACAAAAATTTGATAAAAAATGGTAAAAATATTTTTTGGGTGAAAATATTATTTGGATTTATGTTGAGACAAAAAACAAAATGTGGTATTTTTGGTAATTATTCAAGTTTTTATTATTTGACCTTATATTGAATAAGACTGAAACATAGACTAGACTATTATCGAATATATACTATATTTACAAGACAAAAACAACCAAATAAAATTGTAATAAGCTGTTATTGATTATAATAATATAAAAATATACCAATTGGCCACTTTATGATAATAAATTTTAATTTACGATTAATTTGTAATATTTTATAAAATTTATTATTATTAATTAT